TCTCGTCAAGCACCACGCTATATTGTTAAACAGCTACCAAAGCACAAAAGGTAAGTAATTGCCCAGGACCACACAGCTAAAAATTACCAGGGCTAGGGTTCTAACTCAGTCATTTGGGTTTAATAATACTGTAAATCACTTCTAGTAAAAATTGTCAGGAATTATTTAATATTAAGACCTTACTGAATTGTCCCTGGTTGTCCTGGTAATGCCTTTTACAGCTGTTTTCTTCTATGCTGGATCCAATCAAAGTCCACACACTACCTATGGTTAGAGCCTGTTTCCTTAACTCCTCTTTCTCAGTGAAAAAAATCAACATCTCAAAATAAACTCGGAGGGGTGCCTGGCTGTCTCAGTCGATACAGCATGCTACACTTGATCCCGGGATTATGAGTTGGAGCCCCATGTTGGGTGTAGAGAGTACTTAAAAATAAAATCTTAAAAAGAAAAAATACACTTGGAAATCCACTTTAGTAAGAAAGACATTTCAATCTTACTCATAAAATGTGATTGACAGAACTTTAAATCTGTATGAGATATGATTTTAAATTTTTTTCTGAAACGCTCAACTATGTTATTAAAATAGTTTTTAAAATTCTGGAACAGCTTTAATTTAGAAAAATCTCTATATCCCTTCAGTAGGCTGTAAAAAGAATCCAGATCTTCAGATGGTAGGGAGTACAAAGTAGATAGAACAAGTTCTCGAGGAGGTGAGAAGAACCTCATTTCTGATCTGAAAGAGGGACACAATGAAGTTTTCTTCCTTATGTTTTGTTCTTCTTTACAAAAGCATAGCAGGGCTGTGGGTAAGAAGCTTAATTAATCCTTTTTATATTGGCAAAAATTCAGTTGCCTTCACACTGCATCCTTTGGATAGTTATAGGACTTATTTCTCCTCAGCTGTCATCACTTTGCTTCTTTACCACACTATTAACTATTGAAAGAAAAAAAAAAAAAAAGAACAAACCCAAAACGCGACCCTACACCTACCTAAGTTTTAAAATCACAACCCAGGAAAACGAAAGAGTATACCCCTAAAAAAAAAACACTATTTAAAACTGTTTCAAAGTTATACTAAATATTCTGAAATAAAAGCCGGCGTCTCAAGATTCGAGGAGAAAATAAAATACAGAAAGTGTGTCTTCAGGCCTTTACTCGCAAATGCCCTTTGATTCTAACTGGAAAGGAAATCGAGTAAGAGAAAGTATGTCCTTGGAGACACTCCACTTTGGTTGGCAGAATATTCGTATATAAAAACATGCGAGGGGCGCCTGCGTGGCTCCGTGGTTAAGCGTCTGCCTTCGGCTCAGGTCATGGTCCCAGGGTCCTGGGATCGAGCCCCGCACCGGGCTCCCTGCTCCGCGGGAAGCCTGCTTCTCCCTCTCCCGCTCCCCCTGCGTGTGTTCCCTCTCCCGCTGTCTCTCTGTCAAATAAAAAAATGCTTAAAAAAAAAAAAAAACAAAACCCACACAAACATGTGAGATCTGACTCCCCTCCCGGCTTTGAAAGTCTTTCAAACGAAAAAACCGAAAGGCGAGCTGGATTCAGCATCTGTATTTCCGTGGGGGCAGGAGAGGAGTCCTCGCGCACCTGCCGCGCACCTGCGCTCTCACAGCGCCTCCCCCTGGCGCCTTCCAGCCCCGCATCCCGGCACCGACACCGCACACCTGGGCGCGCAGCTGCCGGACAGGTGCACCAGGCCCCGCCCCACTAAGGGGACTCGGCGACTTCCAGCCAGGAAACCGCGCCGGGGGCGAGGGTTCTCTCGCTGCCCGCTGGTCCACCAGCCCCGCCGTCCCCCGCCCGGCCGGCCGCCGCCGCCCCGCTGCCGCGTCGGTCCCCCGCCCGGCCGGCCCCTGCCGCGTCGCCGCCCCGCCGCTCGACCACCGCCCCGCTGCCCCGCTGCCCGGCTACCGCGCCCCTGTGGCTCCGCGACCCGGGCGGCGCGGACCCGACCTCCGGGAGACCTTGGTGGTTCCGGGGGTCCGGCCCGGGGGTCTCGTCACCTCATGAGGTAGTCCCGAAAGTCCTTGCTCCGGACATAGTCCGCCGCTTTCCGCACCAGCGCGCCCGCCATGGCCGTGCCCGACACCAGACCGCCCACACTGCCCTCGCCTCCGCTCCTCGGAGCCCAACGACACCCAGCCTAGCGGACAGCGCTGACACCGCACCCGCCCGCGGGCTCGCCTCACGACAGCCGGCTCCGCCTTACGGCCGCGCCGCGCCAACCGGCTCTCGGCCTATGGGAGGACGCAGGGCTGGACGTGGCGACGCGGATTGGTTCGCGCGCGCCGCACACCTTCTCACCGCCCCTCGGGGGCGGGGCCTGCTGCCGTAAAACGGCCGGGCCCCGCCGAGGATTGGCTGGCGGTCGCTTCTGGCGCGATGGTGACCGTCCCGACGCCGACGGGCCGGGGTCCTGCGTCCGCAAGACGGGGTATGCCCGCGTCCTCGCAAGGGCACCTTGGCCGGGAGTGCCGGCGTGCACCGCCCGCAGCAGGCCGGGGTGGGGACGCGCGGCCGCGGCGCAGGAGCCCGCGGCGTCGGATCGGGAAGGGGAGGGGGAGGCTTCGGTTCGGGTCTCCACGGCCTTCTGCGGGCCCCAGGTGAAGACGGTCGGGTCCCGTGAAAGGCCCTTGGTGAAGGTGTAGCGTACCGGGCTGTCGGGCACCACTGGCAGGACCGTAGGTTGGATGTAACCGCCTGGGGCGCTGGGCGGCTGATTGACCTTGACAAAGGACAGACCAGCAAAAGCCTGTGCAATTCCAGATGCACAGCATTGTTTTTAAATATGCTCTTTAGAGCCTTCTGTTAGTTTCCCACTGCATGGAGGACTACGAGCTAGAGAATTTCAATAAAGGAATATATAAAGGGAAAAATGCCTTGCTGAGCAGCTAACCTGGGATCTGAATCCGGTTCGTTTTTACTCTGAGAGCCATGCTTTCCCCATGATTTCATGTTGCCACAATGAGAGGGACTTTCTTCCAAGTTCATATGTGTCTTTGCTACTTTAAATATGGAGCAGGGATTGGGACACCTGGGTGGCTCAGTCCGTTAAGCATCTGCCTTCCGCTCAGGTCATGATCCCAGGGTCCTGGGATTGAGCGCCATGTCAGGCTCCCTGCTTGAGGGGGAGCCTGCTTCTCCCTCTGCCTACCACTCCCCACTGCTTGTGCTCTCACTCTCTCTCTGACAACTAAAATCTTAAAAAATAAATAAATAAATAAATAAATATGGAGCAGGGGCGCCCGGGTGGCTCTTTCCATTAAGCACCTGACTTCGGCTCAGGTCATGATCTCGGGGTCCTGGGATCAAGCCCCGATGGGGCTTCGCACTCATCGGGGAGTCTGCTTGTCCCTCTGCCTCTGCCCCTGCCCCTGCTTGTGCTCTCTCTTTCTCTCAAATAAATGGATAAAACCTTTAAATATGGAGCAGGCTATATGGTCTAATGTATAAGAGAACATAACAGTAGGCAAGAGATCCAGCTACATTATTTCATAAAACTTAAGAAAGGCCTAACCACCCTACATGGTCCCTACACGGACAGAGTATAGAAGGTAAAAATGCAGACATCGCTGAATACTTTGAGTCCCAGGTTTGTGGAAGAATCTCACATGCCCCTCCAAGTTTGGAAATGACAATCACACACAGGGCTGTCCTCAGCGCTTCCCTGTTGACTTAGGAAGAGGATCTGTGAGCTCAGACAGATTGCTGGTCGCAGTGGGGGAAAGCTGGCCCTGTTACGGAGCACCTGTATGGGCCAGAGTTGTGTAGGCAGCTTGCACACGCTGTGTGTCCAGGGCAGTGCTCGTGTTTGTAGGAGGGTTGCTGGTCCCCAGTTGGGTGTCCCATGCAGGGGTTCATGGCAGGCAGTTCTGTGATGCCTCACATGGTAATAAACTAGCTACATTCTTTCACCTAATTCTCAAAATAGCAAAAAAATAAGGAAAAGAGGAAACAGTAGATGTGCTTATGAACTAACACACTTCATTTCACACGTTTTCTTCTGGAAATAGGGGTTATAATGATCATTTTGTCTGTCTGGGAGGGCTATTGTGATGACAAGAGGCAACTTTTGAGGCATACTTAGTGGATGAGAAAGTGTTTTATAAACATAGACGTGTTGCTTTGTCTAGCGGCCCACTTTTATTCCAGCCCAACACCTGCCTTTCTTTGGCAGTTAGGGAGGCACACATTAGTTTGATGGCTTTAGTAATTTTTTTTTTTAAAGATTTTATTTATTTATTTGACAGACACGGCGAGAGAGAGAACATAAGCAGGGGGAGTGGGAGAGGGAGAAGCAGGCCTCCCGTGGAGCAGGGAGCCCGATGTGGGACTCGATCCCAGGACCCTGGGATCATGACCTGAGCGAAGGCAGACGCTTAACGACTGAGCCACCCAGGCGCCCCAAGATGGCTTTAGTAATTTAAAGAATGTAGTAAATAAGTGAGCTGAGAAACTCGGGAGTTCAGTGAGAACTGGGGACACTTGCACTCAGAGGCCTGGGCACCATCTGGAATATGAATGTGTACTGTCTTGCCACCTTATCTCTTGGGTCCTACCTGTCATGAATCCATTGTGCTGCCCCCAAAGCTTGGTGAATGCTTCCGGATTAGCAGCCCGTCCCCATCCACTTTTTTGCAGACTCACTGTTCCCATAGTGTTCCTACAGAAGTCACGAAGAAACGGTTTCACAGGCAAAGAATCTTCACTTGGCAATTCAGGAATTTCCTAGTGAATAAATGGTGAAGGATAAAGGAAACAGAGACATCACTATTTTGCATTCCCTACTGAAATGAGTGATTTAGGCCGCAAGCTTCAGAGGACACTAAACCCAACCACTGAAAGGGGAGAGGGAACTGGGTAAACCACAGGAGGCAAACTGTCGCTCCCAGATTGCTCGCTGCTGGTTTATGGGGAAAACAGGCCAACACGCTTTATTACGAGTATAGACAGCTTTCTCCAGTGCTGTGTTCTTGGGACCCTCGGGGGGGGGGGTGTTTCTTGGTTCAAGGTATTTAGGAAACTTTGAATCTGACAAGGTTCATTTTTTTTCTGCTGCACTTCTGAGAGCCTTTACTTAAGTCACCTGAACTGTGACAGCATAAAAGAAGCTTATCCCATGTAGCATTTCCCAGCTCTCCTGAACCATGGGCCTTTTCGGAAGGAGCATCGTGTAGGATTGGTGGTCCGGGGGTTCCAGTGTCTGTGTGCCCTCCCAGCCAAGGTGTGCCCGCAGGAGAAACTGGACCTTCAAATCAGGTGAATACATGCTGCCCCCTTTTATCTAGCTGCCTGCATTTGGCAAGTCTCTAAAACCCCCTCGGCTTCAGTTTTTTCATCTATAAAATGGAAACAATAAATGTCACACCATACATGTTGTTGAGTTTCTGTGGGAATTGCCAGGAGTAACATGTGGACAAGGTCCACAGTGTCCACCACAGACCCAGTGAATGTTGACCTCTTCCTGTATTCCACGTTAGCACAGCTTGAATGCCCCCACGGGCCTACCCACCAGCCTCTTCCCTTTGCTAAGGCTCAGATGGTTTGTTTTTTAATCAGGGAGAGTGGGTAAATATTGCTCCACCTCTAATCTTCCAAGCATTATTTACTCTTGTCTGAGGACGAAGGGCTGAGATGTTATCCTGTTCATCTCTGCCCTTGGAGAAAGGTCAGAGGTACCCCAGCTCTCTCTAGGGCCTTATCTCAACTTCTCCTACATGATTGTTTGGTTCTGGGTGTGGTGAAAACCACTCTGGGGGAGCATATGACTGGGGACTTGGGCTGCCTCCATTTTGACCTCAAACTCTCCGGTTGGGTTCTTCTTTCCATCTGGCCTCTTGGCTCAGGGGGAAGACCCTATGGGCAAAGCATCTCCTCAAGGGAACAAAACTACCCCTCCAGCAACAAGGATTGCCCTGAGCCAGCAAGACACCACCGGCGATTGACTCTGAGACAATGATCAGTTAGACCTTCACTGCCCACCTGCACATAACCACCCATCTTTGCCCCACGTTTACCTATATATACCTGGAAATATTTTTGGCACTTCGGAGATAGCCTTTGAGACACTAGTTCGCTGTCTTTCCAGTGTTGGCCTCACTGAAATAAATCCCTTTCTTCTTTCACAGCCACTCGTGTCTCTGCTTTGGGTTTTGTCAGCAGTAACAGCAGACCCAGTGTGTTTGGGACTCCTGGAGCCAAGTGCTCGTGCATCCCTGTGATGTGGTTTTGGAATATAGGTGAGTTTTAGTGGGGTGGAGTCCAGAGCCGAAGACCAAGAAAGAATTCTTGAGATGTCTTTGGTGCAAAATGGTGGTTTATTAAAGCACAGGGACAAGACCCGCAAGGCAAAAAGAGCTGCTGCACCGGGGTTGTGAGGGGTGGCTGATTAGGTACTGTGGGTTGGGGGAAGTAAGGAAAACGGGAGTTTTTGAGAAAGAACTTTCATATGCTAAAGAAGACTCACAGGATACCAGAGGTCTTGCCATTGTCAACTTAAGGTTGTTTACCCCTCTAGTAAGGCATTAACATTAAGATAGTTGGGAACTTCCTGGAGGAACATTACTCTCGGCCTGCTTAAATTATCTGTCGACAGGCTGCAGGTTATAAGGGCATTTAATTGTATCTACATTCCCTTCTGGAAGCTATTGCTAAGGCTTTTGTAAGTAAACTGAGGAAGAAGACACAGGTCTTGCAGGATTGTGATCTCTATAGGTTAACTATTTGTTTTTCCTTTAGGACAGCCAGGAGTGCCTGAGGAATGTCTTATATATCCCATGGGGTGGTGGGGTTGCAGGGTGTCAACTTCTGCTTTGTCCTCAGCTTGCCTTCTGTTCATTCATTACCTGTGCCCCTGCTACAAGGGCATCAACAGAAATGGAAGCTCACATCTCTGACTACAGACTTAGCCCGTGGTGGGAGCCAGCCTGCTTTCTCCGCTGCAGCGGGACGGAGCTGGGATGAGCCCTTGGGCTGTGACTGCAGAAGCCTGGAAAGCCCTCTGATCTGCCCTGACACTGGCTGAAATTCTGCCTTGGTGAGAATGAGGGGGGTCGTGTTGATGGAAAAAGAATCCTTGGGGAGGGGCTCCCCCTGACTAAGCCCAGGACAATTTCAGTAGCAGAAAACAGCGACTACAAGCAATGAAGATGCCTCTTACCCATGATCCTCAAGGGAGAACAAAAAGATGTAAAGAAAGACCACAGAATGGGAGAACATTTCTGCAAATCATATATCTGATATGGGACTTGCACCTAAGATATTAAAAGAATGCTTACAACCCGGTAATACAAAGACAACCCATTTAAAGAATACGCAAAGGACTGAAGAGAGATTTCTCCAAAGAAGATACACAAACGGCCCACAAGCTCATGAAAAGGTGCTCAACATTATCCGCCATGAGGGAAATGCCAAGGCCACACTGCTTCCCACTCCACAGAAGGGCAGCAAATGGAGCACCAGGTGTCCGTAAGGATCTAGAGGAACAAGCCCCCTCACTGAGTGGAGCAACAGCCCTGGAGACAGCCTGGCAGTTCTTCCAATGACTAAACACAGAGCTGCCACATGACTCAGCAGTCCCACTCCCGGATCCACACCCAAGAGAACTGAAAACATATGTTCACACAGCCCTTATATCCAAATGCTCATAGCAGCATTGTAAATAACAGCCAAAAAGTGAAAACAACCCAAATGTTGGATCAACTGACGAATAGATAAGTAGAATGTGGAATAACCATACAGTGGAATATTATTCAGCAATAAAAAGAAACGAAGTCTTGGCACATGCTACCACATGGATGCATCCTGCAAGCACCACGCTATGGACACGCCAGGCACACGGGACCACATGCAGTATGATCCCACTCATACGAAATGTCCAGAGTGGGCACATCCAGTGAGACAGTAAATACATGGGTGTCTGTGAGGAACGGGGCATGGGTACACAGTCTCCCGCCAGGTGATGAAAACGCTTCAACATGGGTTGTGGTGATGGTTGGTACAGCTCTGAGAATGTGCTAAAAACCATCAAATTGTACACTTTAAAGGGGGAAATTGCATGATGCGTGAATAGTATCCCAGTAGAGTTATTTTTAAAAACTTAACAGTAAAAAACAAACAAACAAACAAAAAACCCCACAACTTTAAAAAATGCACAGGAAATAAAAAAAGCAAACAACATAAAAACCTGAAACTCCGTTGTCATAATTAGTACACCAACTCTTTTGGTAATTAAAGGGAAAGAAGCATTTACCTGTATGAACTATTTCAGATAGTCCTAGTGAAGAAGGAAAGCTCTTCTTCTCAGAGTAAGTTCAGCTAATAAATTTGGAAGAAAGGTAGAATTAAAAGAACACCAGTTTGCAATCCCTAGGGAAATGACGGCTTCAGACGAAAATCAGCAAGGAATGCTAAAAACTATTCTGTAGATAAATGGGAGCTGGATCTTTACAGGGATTATTTGCTGTCTGAAAGGGGAAATGCAAATTTACGAGGAGGGATCTAGGAGCTCCTACTTAACATTACCATCAGAAGGACAGAACTCTAGTACCTCCTGGTGTGATGCCTCATGGAGGAAACAGCCAGGCCGCCCACACCTTGAACCTGAATCCAATCTAGCCTGTGCACAGGAAGTGAAAGGATTAAAAGAAGTAATCCAATGAAACGCTGAGGAAGTAATCAGGCATGTCTAGCAGGTGGAACACTTAATAGGACAGCAGGGCCACTGAACCCCTCTCCCACAGGGCCCTGGCATGAGGGAAAGGGGGCTAGAAATACAACCGGAGCCACATGCAGAACTTTACGTTTTTAGTAACCACAGTAAGACTAAAAAGAAATAGGTGAGGATAATTTTAATGCTATAGTCTAGCCCAATAGATCCAAAATATTCTTTCGATATATATTCAGTATAAAAATTATTATTGAAATGTTTTATTTTCTTCTTTCCATACTAAGTCTTCAAAATCTCGTATGTATGATTCATCTCAATTCAAATACTAAATTTTCTTTCTTTTTTGAAAAAGTTTATGTATTAATTTTTTTTTTTTTTTTTTTTTTTTTAGTGATCTCTGATGTAGGGAAGACATTAGGGTTCGAAGCCGAGGGCCAAGAAAGAATTCTTGAGACGTCTTTGGTGCAAAAAGGTGGTTTTATTAAAGCACAGGGACAAGACCCGTGGGCAGGAAGAGCGGCACTAGGGTCATGAGGAGTGGCCCATTATATACTTTCAAGTTGGGCGGGGGTTAGGGAGAGCACAGACCTCCCAGGTATTTTGACAAGGAGGTTTCCAGGATCCTGAGGGGGGCTAGCTATTGTTGGAAAATGTCATTTATTATTGTTTAGTAAACCCTTAGTCATGAAACCCTTCAGATGTCTATCAGTGGGTCATATGCTTGGGGATAATTGCCAACATGTATCTTGGGGGGTAGAGATAAAGGAAGTTTCCAAAGGAATTTTTATGCATTAAAGTAGACTCACACGATCCTGGGGTCTGGCTAAGGTTGCCTTTTGCCCTTAACAAAATATCTACATCGAGGCGGTTGAGCTCCTAGAGGAATGTCACCCTGCTGTTTCAAGGACTTGTCAATGGGCTGTAGGTAGTAAGGAAATTTAATACATTTTCTTCTTCCTTTGTTTCCCACATCAGTGTCTGCTCCAGAAAACGGAATACGAATATTTTCAATCTATATCACATAGTGGAACAAAGCAATAAGAGAACATCGGTGTCTTGTTTTAAAATTCCAATAAATCCGCAATTTCAGCTAACATAGCTGGAGCACCATCTGTTGGGACAGAAATTAGTTTATCCACCCTTAGCTGTCACTCAAGACTCAAAAATACCTTCTCCTTGGGTTGGCTTTCCAGGCCATGAATTGGTCAAGTTTCTTTCTACACCTGAAATTCTGTGGTTCAGTTTACATCTGGTTTCATACTGGAGCCGCATAGGTATGTTTTAGATCAATTCATTAGGTATTACTTTGTTTAACCTAAATGATGTTACAAACAGTGGAAGAACTTGTGTATATTCTGAATATATAATGTCGGTTTAACATATTTGTCATGAAGACAAATTTTCTGCATCACGAAATGTGGTTTCTTCTCCTCCCTTGCTCTTCTCTATGTGTGGTCCTCAAGACACATCACGGATTCCTTCCTCTGACCTCCTGGCCCTGACAATGGTCACCTCTCTTTTACCTAAATAACCCCTATCAAGCTCCGCCGCCTTCCCACAGTGGTGCCTGTCCTCAGGGGGAAGCCCGTGAGTGGGGAACTTGAGTTCTCAGGGCTCTGTCTAGACTTCAGGTACACATTCTCCACAGGTGATCTCAGTGCTGGAGATGGGGACAGCCAGGTGGATCGTGGCCCATGTGACTTGAATACGCCGGAAGCTAACTGTGCTAACTGTCACACTGCGGAGGCAGAGACATTAAAACACAGAACGAGATCAGGTCAGGTCGGTTCTTCAGAAATCTTTCACCCACAAACCGGGTTGACCTTTGCCTGAGTTAAGCTTGTTGACGTGGCCTCAAAGGAATTTCCCTGTGGGTCAGGCCACTGGGGTCTGGAATGTGTCCTAAGCAGCATATCTGAAAGCTAATATTTGGTTGTCCTTCTGTCTTATCCTTGGCCTAGTTCTACACTTACAAAGAGAAGGTGTAGCTTTACTGAATTCCCTGCAGGTCAGGCACCCGCCAGCATCACCGAATCATTAACCTTAAGGGGACTTTGCCGGCGGTGACAGACTACCACACTGGGGGGCTTAAACAACAGACACTGATTTCTCACCGTTCTGGAGGCTGGAAGTCCCAAATCAAGGTGTGACAGGGTTGGCTTCTCGTGAGGCCTCCCTGCATGGCCACAAGGCAAGCATCTTCTCATCGTGCATCCACACGGCCAGCCCTCCCTGTGTGTCTACCCCCGGGTCCAAATCCCCCCTTTTTGTAGGGACATCAGCCATGTTGGATTAGGACCCACCCCAATGACCTCCTCTTAACTTGATTGCTTCCCTCAAACACTGTCACATTGGGAGGTCCTGCGGTCCTCCAGCATGAGAATTTTGGGGGGAGGAGGACACAGTTCAACCCATCACATTAACTACCCACAATTTCTCCTGGGTCTTATCATGACTCATTTCCTGTCCCTCCCCCTCCTGTTTCCCTGTTTCTGTACATGGCGCGTGCGGATGGTGCTGAACTTTAGGTGAGGCTTCTCTGGAGAGAGTGTGTGCGTTGCCATCACTTATGAAGCGTGGCTGCCCGCTAGGCGGGCATGTGGCTTTTGGTACACGGAGAAGGTGGCTACGGCCTGCAGTGTGGACAGTGCGTGGATCAGCTTTCTTGTGCTGCAGATATTCCAAAGCCAGAACCGGTATCCCTCAGACTTCCCCGCAGCATGGACTCTGCCTTGCGACCTGGGCTGAGGTCAGAGCCAGCTGGGAGGGCGTCGTCCCTGCGGGGCGTGGCGTGGAGACAAGTCCAGTCCAGGGTGGCAGGGGGCAGGGCAGGGGTGTCTCTGCCAGTGGAGCCCCGCACTGTGGGGACACCAGCTTTGGCTCTGTTCTCTCTGGCCGAGCAGCAGCGTCCAGGCCTGCTCTCCTGACAGTTCTCCATGTTACCTAGGATGGTTTAATAATTCTCTTTCAGCTTAAACTGGCTAGAGTGGATTCTCTTGTTTGAGGGAGGCCATCAAGACTCCACATGAGAATGGCAGCATCTAGTGAAACTTTCTTCTGATCGTGGACACGTGCCAGAGTCTTGCCGTCCAGCACGGGAGCCCCAGCCTCGTGCAGCTGGGGGACACTTGGAATGTGGCCAGTGTGGCCAGGGAACTGAAGTTTGCACTGTATTTAATTTTAAGTGTAAATGTTAATAGTCAAACGTGGGTTAGTGGCCACTCTGTTGGTCAGCACAGCATCAACTGCAGGCGGGACGTGCCTGGAGACTGACCAGTGAAACAGTGGCCAAGGTCATGGCGGGGGGGGGGGGGCGTGCGCCAGGTCAGGGCGCCAGACCTGCCCTAGGAGAACCGCTGTGCTGGAGGTTTTCCTTTAACAATATAAAGTAATGGAGGCATCATTGTCTTTTGATAGAACTTTGAGCTGCAGGGTGGACAGGGTTTGAGAAGTGATGTTGCAGCAGGAGGGCCAGGCAGGAGGTGATCACAGTGGCCGAGGTGAGAGTGGGGACCAGCCGAAGGGAGTGGGACTCCAGCACCGGCAGGATGTGATGACCCAAGACTGGGCGGGGCGGGAGAGAGGCTTCCGACCAAAGGATCTCTGGATGTAACCTTTGGAAATGGTGTGTGTGGAAGTGTTGCAACTGAGTTCAGGAATCTGGAGAAGAGGCAAGTTTGGTTCTGCGGGGAGGTGATCTGCACCCTCTGGTGGCAGTCGGTGACCACTGCAAACACACCGATGGCCCGTGCCCTGTGCTGGGCACAGTAGTGAACTTAGGTGATCTACATGCCACATCAGTGAGGCCACCTAACCCACCTGAGGATGCCAAAGCCCAGTTTAGAATCTCATACGGCCCCCGGTTCATTCAATACCTTATCTATTTATTTGTTAACAAATCATTTTTTTTGTGTGAGGCATTGTGCTGAGCTGGGAGCAGAAAGAACACTTCCTCAGCGGTGTCCCAGGTGGGGGGAAATGGGAGCACCAAAGCCAAGTTCCCTGCAATGCTGACTCTCTGTATTACAGGCTCTTTGGGGAGCAACAGGGTCTAGAGAAGGTTTTACGGACACATTGCCTGAGCTGGCGGAAAAGGACAGGCAGGATTTTGTTTGTTAGACGGCACCCTGATATCAGTAAGAAACGCTCGTGACCAACATTACACCCAAACCTGCCTACAACACGTGGCACTAAGTAGCCGAGCAGATGACTGGATGTAGACAGAGTTGTGGTTAAAGCAAGTCTCAGGTCCTTTCAATGACGGAGCTGCCCGGGGCCCAGCTGTGTATTCGATGGCGTACACGACTTGGTGTGATTCAGTCAGGCCCAGAGGACGGCCAAATTGCCTCTACATTTTCTTCAAGGTGAACACAGTCTTAATTAGAGTTCTCAGAGAAATGGAGCCAACAGGAGGTATGTTTCCATCTCTAGCTACATATCTATACCTCTATATCTATTTGCCTATCACTTATCAATCGATCCATCTGGCTATCTATCAAGGGAGAGGGAGAGACATTTA